TGCACCTTTGCTAATGTTTTCAAACCCCTCTTTGGCAATGGCCCTTGCAAGTACAGTTGCGCATGTTGTTCCATCACCAGCTTCCTCGTTAGCTTTGTTTGCGACATCCTACATCAGAATGAAATTGCCCATAACTGCACCAGAACTGATACAATCATTAAAGCAAAATAGTGAAATACAATGCGATGAAGCCATTTCTAAACCTGGACAAGTTTCGCACCCAAGTTCTTATATTTATCTTTGAAATCAATAGCCTTTGCAACTGTCACTCCATCCTTTGTGATTTTTGGGCTTCCCCAGGACTGCTCAATCACAACTGTCCGACCCTAAAAATCAGAGACACTTATGACAATTACCTATTTCAAACCCTCATTTGAAAGATTGAATAAATTATGGTCACTACCAAATATCCTTTCAAATCAAAAAATTAAATGCGCATATAAGAAACATTCAAACCTTCGGTCCCATTGTGACTGCAACAGCATCTGCCAAAACGTCGACGCCCTGAAGCATAGCTGCACGGCCATCTGCCCCAAACTTGACATCTTTTGCAAGACCGCGAATAATAGTACGGGCAACTGCACTGCTTGCGCACAAGCGGAGCATTCTGAGCAAACCTTAAAAAATTTACAAACAATAAAAAAGCATTCTCTATAGCTTATTATCAGCGGCAAAAAGTTGGCAAAAACCACTTCATACAGTGGTAAACTGTGGCCTAAAATCAATTTGCTATTGAAACCGTTCGTGTATTTCAGAGTTAAATTTCTCAAGTTTCAAAGGTTGTTTGTCGCCAATATTACTCCATTAACCACAAAGCTGTAACAACAATAGTTTAAAAACGGAAGTAAACGTATCAGCAGTAGCCAGGCCCAACAGATTAACATATAAAGAACCATCTAAATTAAAATTCCTTCACACCCATGAGGTCAACTATAACAACGTCTGGAGCTAATGTTCAAGAGAAAAACCAAAAGCAACGTATTTTTCTTATCATGGACTACGTATCGCTTCGTGCCAAACAAGTAACAAGTACCAGGTACGTATCTCCAAAAACTGGTCTCCAGGTCTCAAGACCACGGTTTAAAAAGCAGCGTACCAATTGGAAACAATTCTTCAACAATTCAGAAATTTAAACTCGCGAATAACGCAACAAAAAAATAACTATTAACAAAGACGGGACCAAATTAACGCCAACTGATGAATCAGGAAAAGAGTATCGCCCTGCATACAACAGTCCGAAACAAATGCTGTTTAGACGCTAAAACACCAGTGTTAAGTGCACCCCAGAAATTTTACAGAAAAATCTCGAAATTTTTTACTATCCGACCGATTAGGCCTAACGAATAGGAATTTTTAGGTACATACGCAATTTCACAAAGAAAGTTCGCGAACACTAGAAAGCCGGTTGTTGATTGGCTGCCAGCTGCCTACTGCCACAGTGATTGGCTAATTGACAGTCTACACCCATTGCCAACACCCGCCCATTTGTGCGCATCCTCCTGTTGAGCGGGGCATTTACACTCGCGCAAAGCCTTACTTCAGGTTCTATTATTATCAGCCGGACTTTGATTGCTGGTGCTGTTTCTCCAGATTTTTTTACTGAAACAACTGTGGTGTAGCAACAGATAGCGATGGTGTTCGTCACAGCTTTACGGCGATCGGTAAGCATTTTGATGGGGGTGGCAAACGTATATCTGCAGCATTTTCTTAACCAATTTTAGTTTTCTGTTGACATTGTTGCGACTTTCTTTTATCACTTTGAGATCAGTGCGTTAATTTAATTAAACAGTCGTTTTAAAGCTATTTCGTATTAATATAATGTTATGATCGTCATCAAAGAGCTTTAATATCACGCAAAGCTGGTCTAACCTTTTTCTTATTTTTACTGCCTTGTAAATGCTTAATTGGTTTGTACATACTGTTATATTTGAGGCACGAGATATACTGAAGTCTTTCACCCCTCTTTTTGATAGAGTTTTGGTGGAACGATTTGCTCCAGAAGTGAAAACTAAGGGAGGTATCTTGTTACCTGAGAAGTCGCAAGGTAAGGTACTCGAAGCTACTGTAATTGCTGTTGGATCTGGTGCTCGAAATGAGAAGGGAGAAACATTGCCAATGAATGTGAAGGTATTTCAGAGGATGTAATGAAATAACAGTTATATAGACTGAAACACTTGTCGATTCTACATTGTCTTGTCGTCTACTTCCAGGTTGGTGATCACGTATTACTCCCGGAATACGGCGGCACAAAGGTTATTGTTGAAGAAAAAGAGTACCATATCTTCCGCGAGTCCGACATTCTTGGCAAATGGAATTAGGAAGGCTAGATCTTGACATTTTATTATAATCTGATTATTGATGGCGGGAATATTTTTCATCTCACTTGTCTTTGATAGCTTTTTCGTGTGTTCATGTGGAGGTAGTGTTTAGGTAGACCTTTCTGTTTAGTCTCGTCAGCTTAGTTGTTTGTAGATTTCTAAGTTTAGTGAGTTTGTTGGAGCTTTAAGTGTGTTCCTTATGTTTAAGGGAGGTGTAAGGGATGCATAGATTATGCTGAGATAGCAGGAGAGGATTTATGCAATGGAGGGCATTACTTCAGTGTAATATTACTAATTTGAAAAGTTATAATAGCTTAAACATTGTTACAGTTGTTGTTGTTGATTTGTTCATAACAATCTTGCTGTTTAATAAAAGTAACAAATCTCTTGTTCTTTACTGCCTGGCTGAAATATAAGAAAATTTAGTTCTACGCAAGTTTGTCCCTCTTTCGTCGTTTACCGCAGCCAACATTCAGAAAGTGTTGAGCATTTTAGCAGTTAACGTATATTCTTTATTCGTTAGCGCCCGAGTTAGTCATAGTGCGTAATTGTTAATTTTACAAATGAGGTGGAGTTTGGGGCTGCAACTACTTGATGCGAGTAATACATTGTGTACAACAACTGATCATCATTCTTCTACCCAAAAAGTACAAAGAATAGGAAATCGAGTTCTTTTTCCTAGGAGTGAGAGCTCCGTGAGAGAATTTAGAAATAATACGTCGCTGTTTGGAAAGTACAAATAGTGAAGGGATAAGATGAGAGATCAATTCAGCGACGATAGGTGGTACTGGCATGAAAATTTTTTTTGGAGAGGAGGCATTTTAGAAAGAAAACTTATTCAGCAAAAGAACCAGAAAAGAGCAGAAGCGTGTTAGGTGCTACTGACTGTCCCAGCTCTGGAAATCTGGGGCAGGGGAGATGCTAAGAAATACGCGACTATTCTAGTTGAATTACTTTTGGATGACAATGATGAACTGAGGAGTAAAAAGTAAGAAGAAAAATGTCGATAAAACAGCCATCAAAACAGCTGGTTTCATATCACCAGTGTTTATTATTCAAATTTCTACAAATTTCATTGGTTTCTGGGACTTCAAAACTGTTCGAATGGTTTACCATCAGTCGTTGGCGGCGATGGTATAAAGGCGATTGTGTGTTTACCTTTAGCAACCATGCGACCATCGCTTTTCCGACGAAATTCGGCTTCCGCGAAAGCAATGTTCCTTCCAATCTTCAGCACGGATGCTTCAATTTCAATTGTTTCACCCAACTTCACAGGCAACATGTAGCTGAAAAGAAAGGGAGGCAATGTCTTCAATTTTTTAAAAGGTTTCATGAGAACAGTGGTTAAATTTATAAAAGGATGACAAATACCTGACAGCAAGTTCCACGGAAACCATAGCTTTGTCTTTTACAGTCATACCAATAGCTCTTGCTGTAACCATATCGCATAACGCCGCCGTTTGACCTCCATGTAGTGTTTTTTTGCTGTTTACATGTTCTTCTTCAATAGTCAGTTCAACAACAATCCTTTCTGCGCTTGCAGCTACAGGTCGCACCTGTGAAACAAACTGGTATGCCTTCGTTCAAAAAATGACTAGAAAGTGTATACGCGGATTAAAAAAAAAATAAAGCAATGGTACCTTCCGTGCAACCCGGTTAAAATCTTCAGAATTTCTTATTTTATTAAAAGCTTTATGAAGATCGGCGAGATAATCCCGTTTTTCCACAGCCGTTTCCACCGGGGCTTCAGCTTTTCCGTCACCTTGCACCATACCTTCAAATACGCTTAGAAAATTAACAAAAATAATGAAGTAGAAGGAAACAAAGAAGTGACAACAGACTTTGAACTTAACATATCTCTTACATGTAAAAAAAAGACAATTTTCATTAGATTGTTATATAAATGGGATAAACAAAAGTTTGACGTGTATACAAATGATTCAATTTTTGTGTCCAATGATTCAAGAAATTTTTTTGGAAACAGAATATATAATTTCCATTAAAGAAATAACACCAACCGTTCCAAGCGAATAAAAGCAGTATTCTTGACCGTTAAAAACTTTAGTACATACTTTTGAGTAAAAAAACAAATTGCATTCCCTGCCAAAAAAAGTAACAAGCAAGAAGAAGGTAAAAAAAAGGAAGAAAAAGTTAATGAAAAGAAAAACAGGCCGTCATACAAACACAAAAAAAGAAAACATTTTGAACTATGTTAGTGGAAAAAATCGAATCAGTTTTTCTCTTCTGCTGAGTAAGAAAAGCAATCACAAAAGTAAGATGTGGTTTTTTTTGCTCCTCCATCATAACAACAGAAAAAGGGCGATGAAAAAAGCTCAAGAAAAAATAAAGTTTGGAGATATAAAAAAATCCAATGGAATAGTGTTGTTAAAAACAACACATTAGGCAAAAATAAATGTGAAGATGACATTGATCGTGGTTGTTGTTTAGAAAATTAAAAAAATGAATTGTGTATAAACTTCCTCCATTCTCCCTCATCTAAGCGCATGACAAATATCTCATATTTCCCTAATTAGCTTTTCCACCCCACACGAAAACACTCATAAATGCCCGAGAAGAATAAAAATACATAAATTAGTTTTTCTGTAGAGAATGAAAATTTATGTTACAATTTAGTATTAAAAAATAAAGGGAAAATAAAAGGAGGAGAAAAAACAAGAAAAATACAAAAATTGTACAAACACATCTTACCGAATTCATTCTTATTTCAGCACGACCATCATTATTGTTCGCTTGTGTGAATTTGTCGGAGGAAAAAATGAAAGTCTGATAAAAAACACAGATAAGCGTCAAACTGTAACACATCAAAATATCATCAAGACTTTATGTAATTTCAAGGGCAAATTTCTTTCCGACAGGACGTTGCTCGCTATCTTTCAGTGCGGTGATTTTTGCCATCGGAATCTAATAATTGTTAGATGGAAATTTTTGAGCCAGTTATTTAGCTATTATAAAAAAATAAAAGGTTCTGAAGTGCAAATGCTTTTTGGCAGCGTTCCAGGTTGTCTATTTTTACATTAAAACTTAACACTAATTTTGGAAATTCTGGACCTGTATAGTCTGGGTTACCTCTATACGGTTGCTGAAGCGAGCTTTTCGCTCTATTTGGTTTTGTCCAATGGTATTTGACAAAATCTTCTGTTAGGGTTAGAGGAATCTGTTTTTTTTTCTTTTTTTTTGCTGCCTTTTATAGCTTTGATTTCCCCGTTGCAGTTGATCGGTAAAGTTGACGCTAGCTCGATAAGACTGCATATTAAATAAATTGATGGAAGTGTTTCCATTTGCATGCTATGGTTCAGTCTGAGAGTACTGTTTAAATTGGTAATCGCTCCTATTCCTTTTTCTAAGCAATATTATTTCTTTTCCAGCATGTTATAATGCAGTCTGACGATCTTAACTGGAACATATTGAATAAAGGATATTGCTCCTTTAAAGTCAAGTTGGTTTTTTATCTGGTTCAAGTACTTTTTTTTCGTCTATCCTACTCACTTTAGTTTTAAAATCTTTATTTTATTGTGGAATTGTACATTTTCACAATGTCCAGGACAAAGTCACAGAAGTTTTGCCGAAATGAATACAATCTGACTGGCTTGTGTAACAGAGCGTCTTGTCCACTTTCAAATAGTCAGTATGCCACCGTTCGTGAGGAAAATGGTTACCTTTCTTTTCCTTATTTGCTCCTCGTTGTGAAGCCAACATTGAAATGAAGTAACGTTATTTACAACTGTTGCTTCTGTTCAGGCATCTGTTATTTGTATATGAAAGTAATTGAGCGAAGCCATTACCCCCGTCGATTATGGGAGAAGAAAAAGTTATCTCAAAATATGGTTAAGGCGGTAGAGCAAATTGATGAAGCTTTAATTCATTGGTCAGAGTTCGTAAGGCACAAATGTAAGGCTCGGTTAATTCGCATTCATCAAATTCTCTTTCGTATGAGGAAAATGAAATTATCTGGAAGGTAAGACCACTAATTCTGTTTTTTTTATATTTTTTGTTCAGGTACTCATTAAAGAATAATTTCATGGGGGATAATTAATTTTAGTTGGTCTTTTTCCGGACGATTATTTCAAAGTTTTTGCAAATAAAAGATTTAATAAAGTGATTACAGTGCATACTGCTTGCAGCTTGTTTTGCTTCGCTATGAAGGTAGCTTTAAAAGGCTTTTTGCTTTCTAAAATATTTAGTGGACCTAAGGCACTAGGTCAGTTTATGATTGTACGTTCTTAGTTACAATCAAGTGAGAAGGTTCATATTGAAAACGTCACAAATCGTACTATAATTCTTGCATCCTGTATATGCAAAAATTTTTAGCAGTGCTTTTTTTGAATCAGAACACTTCCCTAACAC